CGATTAGAGGTTTGTCCTGTATTAAAGCTGTGTTTTTGACAGGTGGGCTGTAGTTTAGAGAAGGGGCTGAAAGCTCTGTGGGAGATCCAGATTTTAGGCAATAAAAATACATCACTAAACGCCAAGGTTGGTGTGTTGTCTGTCCTTGACTTTCCTCCATGACAGTTTATGATGCATCACATTAACATTAGCTCAAAAAGGATAACCTAGCCGCTTCATTTTGTCCAATTCAAAGTTTATCATGACCCTTTTTAGCAGCACTGGCCCATGTCTGCGGGACAATAATCCAGGTGACGTAAAACTAAAAACTGCAGGGTGAATTTTCTGGTTTGTGATGACATAAAATGGGCATCACATCGAAGCAATGAGATGTTTCTACTGGCTTTAGTCAAAATATGATTGAGATGCATTGGCCATGTATTAAAAAATGAAACGAAGTGAGTAATCTACGTGGTGCTTGAACACTAACTGATCCATCTATTTTCCGATCTGCTTATCCACACAAGGGTCGCGGGGGGTGCTGGAGCCTATCCCTGCCGTCTTCGGGCAGTCGGTTGCCAGCCAATCTCAGGGCACACAGAGAGGAACAACCATCCGTGCTCACACTCATACCTAGGGACAATTTTTAATGTTCAATCAGTCTGCCATGCATGTTTTTGGAATGTCGGAGGAAACCGGCGTACCCGGAGAAAACCCACGCGGGCCCGGGGAGAAAATGGAAACTCCACACAGGAAGGCCGGAGCCGGGATCGAACCCACGACCTCTGCACTGTGAGGTCGAAGTGCTAACCACTGGACCACCCTTGTAAGCTAAATATTGTTTTAATAATTGTGACTTTTCTATTGACCATAGATTCCAATTAAAACCATATGACAGTTATCTGAGGCACGATTACATAAAGTCACAGTATGTAGAAGAGAAAAGTAAAATGGAGGAGTGGGGAGGGCAGGGGACAGAATTGTGCTGTATTTGCAGGAAAACTGGAACAGGAAGTGACACTATACTCTCCTAATGCTGCTGGCAGCAGCGCACTTCCGCTGTTGCTGGTGGCTAGATCAGGTGGCGAGAGACAGACAGAAAGCATGAGAGAGAGAGAGAGAGAGAGAGAGAGAGAGAGAGAGAGAGAGAGAGAGAGAGAGAAAGAGAGAGAGTGCGCGCAACAGATGGTCAACGGATTACATCTACAATCTCTAAGCGTTCTCTGCCTGCCTCGTTCTCACATAATTCCACTATGCTGTTGCTCGACACACTAAACCTCCCCATGTGCGGTTGAATTATTTCTGGTTTTGCTTATCAGAATTATTTTCCTACATCTTACCGATCTGGGTTCTAAGCAAGTGGTGTCATATCTGTACAATGCTGAATGTCATGTGAAAACGTTAAAACATTAAAATCCAATGTTTTCCGAATGAAATAAATAAATAAAACATAGGACGTGTGTGTGTGTGTGTGTGTGTGTGTGTGTGTGTGTGTGTGTGTGTGAGAGAGACTGTTGCACATACCTGTGTGTGGTAAAGAAAGTACAGCAGACACTCGCGCAACGGACTGCACTTTGATGAAGTACTTGAGAGAAAGTAATTTAAAGATTGAACAGAGACAAATTACATTTTTAAATTTGAGCCTTGCGAATACTGGCATCTCTGGGAGCTTTGCAGAGACGAATTATAAAGATGACCATCACTTTTTTTTTTCTCGTGGATAATGTTTTATGATCATTGGGCAAAAACCCTTGCCCATAATATCTCCAAAGGCAGAACTGCTAGTACAGTCCTCGCATGCTGCCCCGCCCCCCACCCCATCACTCACCACCACCAGTAACCACAACTAAAACGCAACATTACTTGCAGCTGAACTGACAATAAAGTACCCACTCGGAACCTCTCACAATGGATGCGTGTCCTGTGAAGTGCTCACCCCTGAGACAGAATCCAGACACAGCAACCTACAACAATGTGCGTCCACTGAGCCCTGTCTTTGATTGACACTCAGATTCTCACCCACATGTCCTCTTGTTGTGGTAAACCACTCGTGTATTAGGTAAGATATCGCCATGGAGATGGAGTATCTTGACCCAACAATAATAAAAAAATAAAAAAGCAGCAACATTGTCAAGCTGTTGTTATCACAGGGTGAGTCACCAAGTCAGCTGAACACACTGGCCTGGCTCAATCGACATCTTTCCGGTCATCTTGGTCAGCATAACACCTCCCGCCTTTCATTTGCAGACACAATAAATCAATTGGTGACACTCAAATACAGAACATGGCCCCACTGCAGACAATGGCTCTTGATTACAAGGATTCACTTCCAAACATGTTGCACAAACACAAACCCTTGGTGACAGTCTACCAAATGTCACATCATGAATAGTCGGTGGGGTGAAAGATGGCCACCTTCACATGGTTCACCCAGTAAGGAGGTCTCATCCAATGAATGCCAACAACCAAATGACTGCATGTGATTGTACAACTCTTGTTTCACCCTGCATGCTGCCATATGAAAGAAGGAGCAGCCATTTAAATTGGCAGTCAATATAATACTGTATTGTAATACGACAATTCCATGTTCAATTCAATGAAGACACATTGAAGTTACCGTAGTTTGAAACATTTCTCATCAACAATTTGTTTTGGTAGACCACTAACTACAACTGAAAAGCTCTCATCTATGGAGAAATAAGAGGCATTTAAATCACCACATTATTGTCATAAATTGACAAAAATATATTCACCAAAAATCACTTAATTAAGCTTTTCTCACTCTGATTGCTGCAGTAAATGGCAAAGGGAGGCAGGCCTCTAACTACGACACTTCCGTTTGGTTTTTTTAATCATATACGTCATTTTGGAGAAGTAGGGGTCATTTCAAGAATGAACCTAGCCCTACATTGACAAAAATATTCACCAAAAATCAAGCAAAACACAACTTTTACTTGGGAAACAACCAGACAGATGTTGATGCATCAACTTCTAACACAAACACAAACTGCTCCTCTGAACTCATCAATTCACTTCATCTTGTGAAAGTATGACTTTATTCTCACATTATGGCATTTTTGTCTCGATAATGTATTACTTTCTTTCCCCCCACCAAAAAAAACGTGAATCGCAGAACGATAAAATGTTTTGTTTATAGTACTTTCCCGAAATGAATACACAATTTGGTTCTAGCAAAAGTCACAACTACAATCTTGTCGTTAGAATGTTTTTTTTTTCTTCTATTCAATGTGACTTTTATACTCCATACAGTACTTTTGTTTGTCATTCTGGTGGAAGTGGATCAATTTAAAGTGCAGTGAGTTTGGGACAGAATTAAACCCTGCATATTGAAATGGTTTGAGTTATGAATAAAACTTATTTATATACAAATATTGTATACATAAGAAGGAATATTTCGGATAGTATCGTTTTAAATTTTTTAGACATATTGGATACAAGAATTACACTGATGTGTTTCCCGAAACTGTTCATGACGTTACAAACCCAATTTCACTTTGCCAACATAAATACAGGGAAGTGATGGTTCTACTCAAAACAACAGAATATGGACGCTTGTCCATAGCAATAACAATAAGAAAACACAAGAATAATATATTTCTAAACACCATAAATAGTATTCTAGCGCTCCTTAAGCATGTTTTTACATAATCTGTGCAGTTTTCATCCGCATCTCAAAATTAAATGCAGTGAAGCTCAGTGCCTCTCTAACACACATAGCCGGTTTTAACACTGTTTAACTTAGAAATAAATTAAGCAAAACTTACCTCTTACACAAAGCAACGACATGAGCGCTTCCAATAACAATCCGGTAGTTTCACTCACTTTGGAAAGACAGCAGATGCCTGATAATAGTTGAGCGATTGTGGTGACATGACACCCGCTAATTAATTCGCGTAATCGTATGCACTTTGGCAGTGTGAAAATTGCAGATTGTTTCCCGACAAGTGACTAATGGCAATTGCAGGTCGATAAAAACCACCGTAAATAACCATCCGAGTCGGTGCCAAATTGAGCAAACAGTGGGAGGGGACGGGCGAATCAGAACACGTGATTAGCGCCTTATTTGGCCAATGGAAACGCAGTATTTACAAAATAGGCGTGGTCAGACAAAAACTCTGTCCAATGATCCAAGGGATGGTTCCGAAAAGAAACTGGTGACGCAGGCATAAGCAAGTTCTGAATAAATCTGGATTTATACACCCAATTGAAACATTGTTTTTATTAACCATGGTGGTAACCTACGATACGCAAAAGCCATAAAAGAAAAAAATTCTCAGAGTATTAAATCTCCAGGTATGCCTGAAAACTCAGGTGTGTAAAGATACACCGAATGGCGCCTCCATGTGCATCTAGTAATGTACTACATTATTCTCAGCCCCAAACAGAGATTGGGAAAAAAACACCCACCCGGGCGGTGAGTGTTTTTATTGTTTGTTTATAACATTTTTTAAAATTTTAAACCACACATATAAAGACACACAGGCCAAAAATAACATATGACAATTAAACTTTGCAATTCATTACAAAATGAATACAATTATAGATTCAAATAATTTTCCTTTTAAATGATAATGAAATGATAATTTTGGAAAGCAATAAATACATTTTGTAAAGAATGCTCAAAGTTGCATTCTTATGTTTGCCTGGCCGTGACAGCTATCACATCGACGGTGCTTCGGACTTACAAGTGCAATATTTCATTGTCATTCCATGCGTGTTTTTTAAGATAAATGTTTGTTTGGATCCATTTTGCTTTGCTATTTTCCATAACAAATACAACACAAGTTGAAAAAAATCTGACGCATAAGTATATTTGTTGCTGTTTAATTTAAATTATGTTTTTTGCTGCAATCTATATTCTATTATTATTTTTATTTTTATTATTATTGTTATTATTATTATTATTATTAGTTTGGCACCGAGTTGTGGGTGTTTGCTGTGAGGTAACGGAACTGCAGATGCCACGTTGTTGTTGCTCACAGTGGCGACCTTTTTACCGCTGCACCAATGATGTAACTTTCCTGATAGGTCACACACACAAGAGTGGGGAGTTCCTGCGAGTGAATCTAGTTTCAATTCACAATTCCTGTCACATAGCGTTATTCATTCATTCCCTTTTAGTTTACATGATGATCCGAACACTGTTTCGCACCGGCGGGTCTCTCCTTCAGGTAAATTAAAATCATAGTGCATTTGCGGTTTGCTGTACATTTATTTTTCTGATACGAACTCATTTTTGTACAGGAGACGCACTCCCCATCCATAAATAAATTCACTCATTTTGTGACCATGCCCACTACCGTTTTGTGACCATGATCAATGACTAATAGTTTATGATTTTATTTAATAATTTGTGCTCAACGTGCCACACTCAGTTTGCAGTTTTTCAGACGTATCGCTGTTGGAACAGAAATTGTCGTACCAACTTACATTGTGTATAATTGTGCAGTTGTATAAATATATGGCGGCATGGTGATCAGGTCAAAGGTTCAATTCGGTGCCCCTGCCTTCCTGTGTGTTCTCCCCGTGCCTGCGTGGGCTTTCTCCGGCTACTCTGGTTTCCTACCACATAACAAAAACACGTACGATAGGTTAATTGATCACTCTAAATTGCAGTTCAGGGTATACACCACCCACTGCCCAAAGTTAGCTGTGATAGGCTCCAGCAAGTCGGCGACCCTCATGAGGATAAGCAGCTCAGATAAAAGCTGGATAGATTGATAGATATACATTTACACATAAAAATACATGCATATCTATTTATTTTTAAGAACACACCCCAGTATACAGTACTGTATATGTGTTTTCTAGCATAGCCGACGAACGGTGCCAAGGTTGTGGGTGTCCCCACTTCAGCAGCGATGGGCCTCCAGTCTACCGATGAACACGGTGGTCCTGTTTGTGCCACAGCAGGAAGCATGGGTGGTGGAGAGAATGGGTCGCTTCCATCGCATCCTAGAACCGGTATGTTTTGGGTTTTTTTTTTGTTTTGTTTTAGTTACAGCATAAACTTAACAGGTATGAAAACGTTTTTGCACTGTACTTGCTCATACTCTCCTGGTTGACCTCCTCTAGGGGTTAAATTTCCTCATCCCGGTACTTGACCGAATCCGCTATGTGCAAAGTCTCAAAGAAATTGTCATCGATGTCCCCGAGCAGTCTGCAGTATCTTTAGGCAAGTCATTTTGTCATGTGTTTACACTGTGAAAACGATTAACCCCCCAACAGTCTTCACGCAAGTTAAAATTAAATAGTTTGGATATATTTTGCAATTGTACTTTTAATCTGTTTGGCAGATAATGTAACGCTCCAGATTGATGGAGTTCTATATTTAAGGATCCTGGACCCTTTCAAAGTAAGATTTTCAAATTGATGTGATAAATTGCAATTTTTCTGCTCCTATGTCACAGATTTTTGTTTTATGTACATTGTTCACTCCAGGCTAGTTATGGTGTTGAGGACCCTGAATATGCTGTCACACAGCTGGCACAGACCACCATGCGTTCAGAACTGGGCAAACTGACACTGGACAAAGTGTTCAGGGTAATGACATGCTGTTTGATCTCACCTTGTCTGTATCTTTTGTATAAACAAGGATATAAGAAACATATAACGGTATGTTGTTTTCTCTTAAGGAAAGAGAGTCCCTTAACGCCAACATTGTTCACTCCATCAACCAAGCTTCAGACGAGTGGGGAATCCGTTGCTTGCGGTATGAAATTAAAGATATACATGTTCCACCTCGTGTGAAGGAATCCATGCAGATGCAGGTGAGGTTTAAAGATCCATATGTATATTTGTGAAATGTGCTAACTCCCTCTTTTTTTTTTAAATTACCATGCAAGTATCAAAAGGAGTTGGCCACCCTAAATAGAAAAATGGCAAACCATCAACACTTAATTTAAATAACACGGAATGCATATGGTCAATTTCCACATTTCGTCGCATGTGCTTATGCAATTAAACTTCTGTTATATTTTCATTTACATATTTCTTCTCTTAACAAGAAGAAAAAAAAAACAATCATTTTAGTGACCATAAGATGCCGTATCTGTAATGTACAATAATTTGGCACACAATATTCTGCAGGTAGAGGCTGAACGTAAGAAGAGAGCCACGGTGCTGGAGTCTGAAGGGACAAGGGAATCAGCCATTAATGTCGCAGAAGGGCGTAAACAAGCTCAAATTCTTGCCTCGGAGGGTGAAAAAGCGGAACAGATCAACAAAGCGGCTGGTAGGTGCATTCAATAAATCATTTTTTTGTATTAGCGTTATGGTTAGAAATGAACTTTTTTGTTTGTTTCACTATTTGCCCAATGACTAAAATAATCAAATTACTGTCGATGAACGAAACTATTTCGCTCCAGGTGAAGCCCAAGCAGTCATAGCCAAAGCTGAGGCCAAAGCCAAGGCCATCCGAGTTCTATCTGATGCCCTCGCTGAGCAGGTGAAGAGTAGTTTTCCGTGTTTTTTTTGGGGGGGGGGGGGTTGAGTGACAGTGGTCAATCCAATCTGAAACATCTCCTTGTTCATTTTACTGTGCAGAATGGAAATGCGGCAGCCTCACTGAGCGTGGCTGAGCAGTACGTGTCTGCGTTTTCCAACCTTGCCAAAGAGTCCAACACTGTCCTTCTCCCGACAAAGACAGGCGACATTAGCAGCATGGTGACACAGGTAAACGTGAAAACAAAAAAGGGTGTTTTCTAAAATCATTATGTTACTCATTGCGTTTTCCTGCCTGCAGGCCATGACCATTTATGGTACATTAGCAAAGGCAAGTCCGAAGATCCCACCAGCAGAAGTGGAGGAGTGTGAAGATATTTCAAATCAACCCGAATCAAAATAGCACAAGACACAATCAATGAACTCAAAACACACCACAAAGCAAAATTAGATGATTCCAATGGATGGTCAATGAAGTGATTTATTATCATAAGATGACAAACTATTTCAATGACTTGCAGGAGTGGAATTTTCATGGACTCTTGTTTGCCGACTGTCACATCAGCAATTTGACTTTTGGATGCTGCTCATGTTAATGATTTACTGTGGGTACCATCTTAGTTTTCTGTAAATTATGCCCGGTAGAAATAATTTAAGATATTTTGATTCATTTGTGCGGAAATGTGATTAGGTTAACTCAGGCAAGGCAATCTTCATACACTTCTTCATGGAAGTATAAGTGAAGAAGGCATTTTTTTCTACTGCACTAGTTTTGAGTTGCAACATATGGATGCCTCATGTGGGAGTTCCTCAGTGTTTAGTATATGTAGTTTGTCATGTTAAAATAGCAGGCACCAAAATAATTTCAGACCAGTAAAAGAGGTAAACATTTTTTTAATCTGAAATACTTTCCCTTTGTTCTGTAGTTAGAAATAAACACTGTGTCCAACCTTCACATTTGTCTATGAATGTACTTGTTAAATTTGAAATATATTTTGTGCTTTCTCCTCAAATTCGATTTCTTTATCAGAATAAGTACTGTGTAAATATTTCAAAACGACTGTAAGTGTGTGTGTGTGTGTGTGTGTGTGTGTGTGTGTGTCAGAGAGAGAGAGAGAGAGAGAGAGAGACATAGATGCAAGTCTAAATGAAAATAAATATGCAGCACACATTGGTTTGAAATGCGTTTTTGAAGGTTTTTGGATGAGAGTTTTTATTCTTAAAATAAATACAACCGGGTGAAAATGTCAAATTAAATGCTTTCAATGATCCCTTTCATTTTTCTGACACTTTTTTTTTTTGGTCAAAGGTTTTCCAAAAATTGATGGAAACAAATTCATCACAGACATATAATGGGTGTTTCAAATCATTTTACTTGGTTTTCTTTTCATAAATCACGATTTTGTACGTGTATTTCTTTACAAAATGCAATGTAGTATTGTAAGCGAGAGAGGCTACGCTCGGTGTAAACACAAATATACTCCTGCAAGGCTAAAAGAAGGGCGAAAGTTATGTATCTCTGTGCCACACTGAAAACTGTTCGTCCGAGACTTCCGCCACAATTTCCATCCGCCCTAACGTTCCTACCCCGTCTGTGATCTTGGCTGTCCGAACCGGAGTTCTAATCGGGCAGCGGGTAAGCCTGCGCCGTAGAGTGTGTACATGAGACACCTGAAACCTCCTGGGCCAACACAACGACCGTCAAGTCCGCCCCTGGTCCACCTTGGTGGGGGACAATGACTTCCACAAGGTCAGTGTGTTCAACAGCGAGGCGATCTTTGGCACAAGTAACCGGGTGACATTACCAGGAACGGACAAGAATATCGTTTTGATCCATCAACCGTTGTCGTTGTAGAATGAAAGGACACCGGGTGCTATCCTTGCTCCTCTGGGTGTGTGCAGTGTATTTTGTGGGAATTTACCTGTTTGTGGGTGGATTCCTGCTGGTTCGGTTGGAGGTGAACCGCACCAGCACCTGCGGAGACGTACTCGAACCGAGGGGAGAGTCGAGAGACTTTTGTGGGGTAAAACCACCTTTCCGCAGGGCTGTCATCCTGATTATCGACGCCTTAAAGATCGACTTTGCCCGTTTTGACCCCAACAACACTTGGCCTCGATCTTTTGAAAACAAAATGCCTGCGTTTGAGGAGACATGCTCATCCAGGCCTGCCCAGTGCCGCTTGTACCCCTTTCGTGCTGACCCACCCACGACCACCATGCAGAGAATCAAGGGATTGACTACTGGGTCTCTGCCCACCTTTGTGGATATGGGTAGTAACTTTGCATCTCGGGCCATTTCAGATGACAACCTCATCCACCAGTTTGGTCAAGTGGGTGAGTACTGTGTAAACATGCATAATCAGATCTTTTAGGAGAATGGGTGAGTTTTTAATACATACATAATAGAGAATTCTGTTCAAGGTTAAGCTTACATTCACTTGACTTTTGCAGTGTCAAGTACAACTTTATTGTCAAATGTCCATACAGAGCTGCCATGTCTTACATTTGTAGTCCATATGCACAAACCAGTTATTACCGTCTCATTCACTGACATTGCCATGTATACTTGTCTGTGATGTGTTCAATCCACTATTTGTGTTCTTGTTCACATTACAAAACAAATGTGTCCTATTGGGAGCTGCACACACCTCTCACTGCACTGTCTCAATTGTGACAGTGCAAATAAGTTGCCCCGTAGCTCCACTCAGAATCAGCAGAAAGACAAAAAATAAATCAATAGCTCAAGATGCTACCACTATTTGAAGAGAAACAAGCGCAGCAAGGCTCCCACTAATTTCAACAACTCCATTCAATATGCCTTTACCTTGTAACGTTTACGTGGTGGTGGTGGACCCCAAAAAGCAGGCAGGAGGGAGGAGCAGGGTGTACTTGAAAGATTGTATTAAAACTCAGAAAACTAAATCCAAAACAAAGTCCAAAGTATCAAACAAAACACATGACTGAAGATAAAACATAACAATGATCAAACCCTGACTGAAACAAACATGACAGGAGCCACCAAACAGCAACAAACAATGACCCAAAAATGAGTGCTCGGGCTGGGAGTCCTTTTAAAGCCCTAATTACCTAACGATCAACAGGTGTGCAGCTGCAGGAAGAGCCCTACAGTGCCACCTGTTGGTCACAAACCAAAACATGACATCCCTGAATCCTGTAAGTCAGGGGCCCCCAACCTTTTTTGGCCCACGGACCGGTTTATGTCAGACAATATTTTCAGGGACCGGCATTTAAGGTGTGGCGGAAATAATACAACAAAATAATATGGTATGAGCTGCATGAAAATGGTGGCGTTTTCGAAATATAATAATAAACACAAGGAGCGTCTAATCTGGCCGCAACACTCCGATCGCTATGGCAATGTTTAATGTCTTCAAAATACGATACAACGCAAATTCAAAGTGCATGAAAATGACGACTCACCACAGCACCGAGCTTGATTTTCTGCAACCAGACGGTCCCATCTCGGGGTAATAGGAGAGACAATGACACCGCAAGTGTGTGGTTTATGTCCAGTCTACTTCGTAATTTTGTTTTCGTCGCCGTTGCTGCATAATCCCCCCCCGCCTCACACAGGTAGGATGTCGGAAATAGCAACAGTGCTATTGTGGCGATCTCAGAGTATTCAGACATAACTTTAATGAGAATCCGGTAGTTTTTCAAAATAAAACATCTTTCGTATTCCGAAATAAATAAAACGGAATTATGGCAAGTTCTTTCTGTGCGGCCCGGTACCAAATGCCCGGCGGACCGGTACCGGTCCGCGGACCGGCGGTTGGGGACCCCTGCTGTAAGTGACACAATAAAGGCTGGGGACCGCTGTCTTGAGTGATATAGAAAGATTTCAATGTATACAAGTGCCTATAGGTGAGGCTGTCAGCTAAGAAAAGAGGATAGGTAAAAAAAAAAATATTTAAAAAAAAATGAACAAGTGAGGCATAACTAGATGACTAGTCTCTGACAAATGACAGTTTTCAATTTCTACATCCTCTTTCACAGGCAAACGAGTGGTGTTCATGGGCGACGACACTTGGGAGAGTCTTTTCCCAAAGAAATTCTACCGTTCTCTGCCCTTCCCTTCTTTTAACGTGCATGACCTGCACACTGTGGACGACGGCATCCTCCAGAATCTCTACACAACTAGTATGTCATATGTTCACCGAAAACAAACAGCTCGTCGGAAATCGTAGTCAGTCCTGTTGTGTATGTCCTTTAATATCTTTCCATCCGTCACTTTGTTGGCTTTGACAGTGGTGGGTGACGAGTGGGATGTATTGGTTGCTCATTTCCTCGGGGTGGACCACTGTGGTCACAGGTTTGGTCCTGACCACCCGGCGATGGCTGACAAGCTCATCCAGATGGATGGAGTCATCAGGTCAGACAACGGTGCAACGTGCCTCTGTGACTACAACATGCATTACATTAGTACAATTACTTTGCACTTTTTTCCCCATTTTGTTTCTCACTGTAAATGTCATCAGATATTATTAATTAGGTCGAAAAGCAGAGTTTCTGCCTTTTAGTTGTCTCGTTGCAACAAGCAGTACATAATAAGATGGTCACTTGTTAAATTTTTTTTTTCCAACTTCATTCTTACATGTAACATAAGTTTCAAGCATCTGAGGGGAAATCACATCTATTGTGCTTTTCATATTTGTCTGCAGGTCTGTGATCAACCATATAGAGAATGACACGCTCTTGGTGGTGATGGGGGACCATGGGATGACAGAGACTGGCGATCATGGAGGAGAAAGTCAAAAGGAGACTGATGCGACCCTCTTCCTCTACAGTGCCATCCCGCTCTTTCCTGGACCCCCGTCGCAGGTCTGTAGAAATGTTCAATGTACTCCAGCTCGGAATCTGTCGCGAACACTAACCTAGACTAATACAATATTAAATCAGAATTACAGGTAATATCGTAATGAAATCCATTATGGGACATAAATATGAAACAATCAAATGAAAAACAGTAATCATATAACTGTAACTGAGCTTGACCTATTCTTGCGCTGCTGCGCAAACTAGTCCATTGTATGCTGTTTGTGATCTCAAAACATCAGATGTCGGTACCGTCGGAAACCGAGGACAAGCTGTAATATGATAATCTGGATTATGAGTTCCTCTGCAATCCCTGAAAAGTGTGAAACTGATCATAACTTTTACGATTTGAAATTTAAGAGCTGAGAATAAAACAGAAATGTGAACTCGGTTTTATTCTTTCGGGTGTCCGACAAACTGCAGGGAAAACAAACGAGTGAATTGTTGGATCTATTATGAGGTAATGAAACAGTTTGAGAATACTCATTACTGATTCTGCTCTGTGCAATGGATGCTGGTAGGCATTCTTTCCACTGTCGGCAATTAATAAAGTGCACCGCCCACCACAAGTGTTGAACTACGGCGCTCATTTACATAATTGCTTTTTAAATGGAGCGTCACATAGCGTAATGTACACTGCGCAAAGCTGCTCGTTTCATTAGCAAACAGATTATGTCCTCAAGATAATCAGCAGGGAAATGATCAGACATCTGCCGTATTAGACACCAAGACAAATCCATTTTCATTGATCAGTAGCATTTCAAGACATTGTATCTTATTATTTAAATTTTTGGATAGTATACATGATTTTAATGCCATGTGAGGACAGCTAATACCGTAAATAATTGTGTGGGGGGGGGGGAAATGACGACATTTCGATGCTTATAATGTTACAACTGTATTCTATCCCTACTTGTAGGATGAACCTGATGTGGTGCCCCAGATAAACCTGGTTCCCACACTGGCCCTGCTCCTTGGAGTGCCAATCCCGTACAGCAGCGTGGGTCAGGTTCTTTTGCCTTTGTTTCCTGAGTTTGGCCCCGCACAAGGTGCAGTTGCCGGTCTCAGCCAGCTTGAGGCGCTGTGGATCAATACAAAGCAGGTTTGGTACACACTGTGGAGAATGTTGCCCAAAAAAAATCCCCGTCTTTTTCAATATAAGATTGTGTGCATTCTGTTTCTGAAGGTGAGCCGGTTCCTGGTGACGTATTCTGCTTTGGCCAAAGATATACCATCTGAGAGTCTGGCTGTGCTTCAACATCAGTATGAAAACCTCTCCTCTGAGTATCTCACATTCACCCGAGAGGGACGCTCACCCCCCCGTGAGCTGTCGCTCGCGCTGCAGGCCTACCTCACCTCCGTCCAAGACGTGTGCCGAGCCACCTGGGCCCGCTTCAACCCGCTTAAAATGGCGGCCGGTTTAATCATCTTGGCGCTCGCCTGCCTGATGTGTTTCACCGTGTCTGAAATGTCATCGGTGCTCGTCAGAGAGAATAATTTTCGGCTGAGGGCAACTGTTGTAGTTGCGCTGCTTGTTGGCGTTTGTGTGGCTGCCGGTCAGCTGCTCTCATGGGGTTACGTGGAGTTAGCATGGTGCATGGCTGCGACCGCCTTCACGTCTGAGCTCTTCTTCCTGTGCCAGGCTCTTCAGTCCAAGACATCCACTGGGGTTAAGAATGAAGCAAAAGCCCCAAAAAGTGCAAGCTGGAGGACCCCACGTTATCTTCTCTCTCCACCTCTGGTGGTGACACTCCTTCGCTTTGCCTCCATGCTCTCGAATAGTTATGTGATCACCGAGGGTCAAGTAGTAACCTTCTTGTTGCGCTCCCTGGCTCTCTACATTCCCCTCCGTCTTAATTGGGATGGCCTCCTTCTGCCCGCCAACCAAGACCCTTCGAAACCTGCGTCGCTGCTCCCGTCACCCGCCTCTCCCCCATCGACAGTGAGAAAAGAAAGCAGCACCCTCGTAGCCTTCTTCGCGCTCCTCGTCGGAAGTCTCTACCTCTCCCTCTTCTTCCACGGCTGTCGAGAGGAGCAGCATGCCTGTCAGCCATCCCCCTTCCTTTCCTCCCTCGCTCGGGTGAAAGACAATCAGCTGAAAAACATTTTCTACGTCCTCTCAGTTTCTTCCCTTGCCGTGTGGACGTATCTGTTGAGAAAATGTCTCCAACACTATGGGAACCTCAACTCCTCAGGTGGAACGGTATTCACGGCCCGCTGGATCCTTCCCCTGCTTTCTGTGTGTCTGGGGCTCCACTGGGCTGTTAGTGCCTCACCAGAGAACAGCTTCAGGAATTTGTCTGAGCTTATCAAACTGGCCCAAATCTTCATCCCCAGGGCTGCATATTGTCTCCTGGGACTGGGGCTGGCCCTGATCTGGCTGGATCCACTAACCGTGTTTGTTAAGACCAGGCCTGCAAGTGGGACTTTGAAGAATTTGTCCGTCCCTCCGCCACGCTACCGAGCCAGCACCGGTATCAGCCCCCAAGCCGAGCTTCACCACCTCATCCCACAAATCTACCAGCGCATGCGCCGCTCACTGGATGATGGCGAGACGAGCGGGGCTAGCGAGGTGGACAACCGACCCGCCGTGGAGGCCTACGGCCTAGGAACGGTCTACTCTGCCCCGCTGCTTCTGTTCTGTGGGCTGCTGGGATTGGGTCTGCTGCACTTGCACCCAGAGGGCATGGCTCTGTCTTTCCTCCTGCTACTGTTTGAAATGGGGGCTCTGCTGCACATTCATGCCTCCTCCACAACTCTTTGCGACCTGCGCGGAGTATATTCGGGTGAGTTGAGAATGTCGTCATTTTCTTCTTGGATCATCCAAAGTGACACAGTTTGTTACCGTGTTTTTTCTCAGGTGGCTTCAATGTGCCCTGGACTCCTGTTGTGCTGTGGTCGCTGGCAGCCACCCAGTTCTTCCACGCAACAGGTCACCTGCCCACCTTCTCTTCTATTCAGTGGGAAGCAGCCTTTGTGGGATTCCCCGGTGGCCACACGGGGACCTTCCTGCCGGCCTCCTTGGTTACCCTCAACACTTTTGCTTCACACATCCTGTTTGCAGGTATACCAAGCGCTTGATTTTTGCTGCATTGTTGAATATTGAACAAGGTACTGGCTAATAGATAAAAGTCCAAGAGAATTGTTGATACCGTTCGTGTATCAGCTTTATGGGACATAAAAAAAAAATCACATAACAATACCGCATTGGCCCGAATATAAGACGGCCCTGATTATAAGACGACCCCCTCTTTTTCAAGACTCAAGTTTGAAAAAAGACTTTTTGAACACCAAATTAATTTTTATACAGAAAATAATTACAGTACATCTGAAACAAATGATTATAACAATATATTTGAGAGAACAAGCATGTTATTTTGCCTCATTCAAATCTTAATTTCTGAACATTTAAATATGTAAACTAAAGTGCAATCACATTCGTAAATGAATGGCTTCTAGTTTTTGAAATGTAAATGACATCATAACTTATCCTCAGCTGCCGGTTAACCTGGCCGATCTTCGACCCACTTTTCTCCAGATTGTCGCTATGTTTCTCCATTTTCTGTTATCTCTTCTATTATTTTCTTCTCTTTTCTTCCTTACCGCTAATTTTTATTTTTCTTCTTCATGCTACCGCTATTTTTATTTTTATTCTTTGTGACAGGGGTTCACTTTGGCCTGGGGAGTCAAGTTCAGCATTCGCTTCAATGATATCTGGCGCCATCTAGCGTCGTGAATGGGTATAATGTCTAGACCCCGAATGTAAGACGACCCCCACTTTTTCAGTCTTATTTCAATGCAAAAAAACATCGTCTTATATTCGGGCCAATACGGTATAATGCGAGCATAAGGCAATTTGGGGGTTGTGGTCAATTCAGGTATTTGGTGTTGGACAACACTAAATGTCCTTTATTTATTTTATTTTTTTTTCATGCCCGCAAACTTGCATTTTGAGCGGTATAATATAGCTATCCTGCCGCTTGGCGCCTCGTTGTCCCCAGTGGGATGTCCCTTACTGCTATTTTGGCCCCTGGTATGCGAGGTCCGTGGAAGCAGGGCAGGCAAAGCCAGTGGTGAAGGAGGAGAGGATGCCGTCATGGAGATGAGACTGAGGGAGAAGCCTCAACTGTTTAGCTCGGCTCTCCTGCAACTCTCGGCACGCTACCTCTTTATTCTCGGACTGCAGGTACCACTATAAACGACTTACATACAGTATCCACATACTCTCGTAGCAAAATTATAATATACAATTTTGTCAAAAAGTCTGTAAATTATATTGCTGATCCAAATCCGAGTTGTTCGGCCTTGCCAGATGGGCGCACTCTGCTGTGCCATTCTAGTATTTTTCTGTTTGCCTGCTTCCCAGGTCTTCGCTTCAGTGTGTGCAGCTGCTATCCTCAGGAGGCACCTAATGGTGTGGTGTGTTTTCGCACCCAAGTAAGTGCCTGACTCCAGTTTCCCGCTCACACAGACTCACTGGTTTCAAAGGCTTTTTCGGAATATGGACTCAGTGGAAAGGCCTGGCACTTATACAGGTTTCCACCGTGCACACATTAGGGGATGCCGACTCACCTTGCAGTAATGGACCACTGTAATAGCTACTGTTGGTAGTTACAGCTATCCGAAATGAGAAAACTAAGTGCTGTTTCCCCAGAGGCGTTCATGTTGTCTTTCACCTTTCAGGTTTATGTTTGAGGCCTCGGGGTTCCTGGTGAGCTGCGTGTCTTTGCTGCTTGGTGTCTCATTAGTGCTGAGAGTCGACGTGGCAGTGGGACATTGGTTCAAGAGACTCGTCCCCGATGTCTCCAGGTAGCGAAAAGCCACACCGTTGCTTTACCAGCGCAGCCCACTAGAGCACACTGTGCCATCAAAGGAATGGACAAGGCGGTGAAGTTCTGATGACGCTTCGTATCCAGTGTGAAGGCTCAACCACAGACGGATGAAGAGCTGCACTGACAGGCTAAGAGCTCGAGTCTGCCTTTTGTATCCACATGTATTTTGGCCGGAGAAAAGCTGAACTTTCTGACAGTTTTTTTTCCTCCCTTCAGATGTGTGTATTTTTTTTTCTCTCCAAGTATTAATGCGCTTCATTGTGCAGCAATCAGACTAACAGTTTATACTATCCCATGCCTGTCAACAGCTGTCGCAGCCGTTAAATACTCAGTGAGCACTTCATAACAGAGTTTCGCCAATATGCAACACAGTTGCCAAGTTGAAGTTACATTTTCTGCGAAATATTCCCTGTAGATGTGACATGCTGGTATACGCGCCTTATTGGGTATTGTAAGTGAGCCATTACTTTGTACATGGAATGTGTCACTTTTGAGCCATAAGTGTGTCTGGAGCTCCAAGAACGCAGGCAGTCTTGTTTTGTGGCCATCACAAAAACACTCCTTTTCTTTTTCTTTTTCTTTTTCTTTTTTTTTTTAAGTGTGTGTATTTTCAAGATACAACTGAAGTGTCAGGTCATCGCCAACATTGAATCTTTCTTTGAATCTCAAGAGATCACTGGGTGCAAGCCGTCATTTCTAATCATGTGGGGAGGACATTGGAAAGAACGGACTTTTTTGTGTGTGTTTTGGTTACGTAATCTGACATTTTATTTCATAGGGCTATTGATTTTCAACTATTCTATTCATCATTTCATGTTTTCACAAATCACATTTAGGCTATATTTTTTAAATGAAATGCACATCTTATTATCATCCTCAATAAATGCCTTTTTTTTTCTAATGATGGTCATTGAATCCACAGCCTTTATAAGTAATTTATTTTCAAAAGGATGCACAATATTTGAAGGCAACTCTGGCTCAACACTGCATTCCTCAGGCCCTCTCTATACAAGAATGTTGTGTTCATGAGAGCACCTGCTGTGGTGATGTTCCCCCCCCCCCCCAAATGATTGATTGAATCATGTTGCTTGTTGTTGGCTTTTTTTGCTTTATGTTTTGGATAAAATGCATACTTATATGAAGAACTAAAATGAGTGATTGAGAACAAATAAACCTTTTACATGTCTTGTTCATGCATATAGTTGTCATTCATGTCAACTCGGACATGATGTACTATTTATATTGGAAAGGTGCTTTAAAAAAAAGAACATGTTTATTGATCAGAGGAAATGATGGAAGATTTTACAGCCCATCAATCATTCAATGTGATTCAGTCATTATTCATTAGGGGACGTACACGTTTCCAGTTTCCATAATGTCTTACTTATACACATTAATGAAGCGCAGGTTCTGTAAAAAAAAAAAAAAAAAAGTTCAATTCCATTTGATTCGTGGTTTAAAACGTGAAATACCTTGATTTCCTCTTCCAGAAATTGTTTGGCAAAATGCTTTCTTATTTCATCCATCAGGAAAGACAACACTTTAGGATTAAAGCATTAAGGTTTACCATTAAAAAGAAAGAAAAAGAAAAAAAACAAACTGATTTCATCTTGCCATTGCACGCAGGGACCAAGACCTTAATGCATGGGAGACATGTTATGTCGTCTCACAAAACTCATGAAAAGGGAAAGCTTGCAAACCTGAAAACCGGATACCAGCTGTGAAGTACAAGGGTGGCGGGGTGATGTTCAAGGATTGTTTTGCGGCAGGAGAGAATGGTACATTTAACCAATGAGATGGCATTGTGAAGTAAGATGACAGCTCTCGGAGATCTGACCCAAGTCAGTTTCAAGGCAATGGTACCAAATGAAAGCTTCTGACTTTGAATCAAGTAATGGAGACGTTTTCATTTTTTGATTTTTCGATTGCCAATTGCAAATCGAAAGAACAAATTATACGCAGATTCACAGAGCCATGTGGTTTTCTTTCTTTATTTTGTTATCTCCAGTGCCAACGACATGTTACTGGTGGAAACTGTTCATTCTGATTCAAATTTAATATTTGAAGTTTGGAAGGATGAGTGTAAAATCAATAGGGACTTGAGACCACCAGCTTACAAAAGGACCTAAAGCTCCAGGAACATAAACGTTGAAATGAATTACTTTGGTGAAGTGGGTGAACAAAATGGTCTGCCTTTAAGTCTGAAGTGATTACGTGCCATGCTGGTCCTCAAAAGGCAATGCAAAAAGAAGGGGATTAAAAGCTTTTGGACTGGAAAACAGCTGCAGCAAACGATGCCAAATGATTACTGTTAGCATGCATCTAGACTAGTTATCATATGAATTAATCATGACAATAAATTTGGAATCATGGAGGTGAGCGTGCGGGATTGCCTGTCTCCATATATGCCAACTCCGCACCCAACCGAGCTGAATGCTGAGCTGTGTGATGATGGCGTTCATGGTAAACACAGATGGGACTCTAATACCGGTGCTTTGCATCCACATTTGGCACCACACAATCACGCGAGCGCACACGCGCGGGAAAAAAAGTTTGGACACTTCTGGCTTATTTGGAGGGTAATCCTTTAAATCAGCCCCAGCTGTTCGTTCAGCTTCTCAGGGAACACTTTTCTGCTTGGCGTCTTCCATCTTTCCAAGGAGTACACTTTACACATGCGCATTCCAGATGCCTCCTTATCATGGATAAGATACAACAAAAAAGGATTCATTCCTTACATCTTCTCGAGCAGGGGTGCCCATTACGTCGATCACGATCGACCGGTAGATCTTGGCCTGGTCCTAAGTCGATCGCGAGCGGTGTAGAGGAGAAAAAAAACAAACAACCATTTGTGTGTTTTTGTGCAAGTTAATAATATATTTTTTGTCTTAATGTACACTGCACCCTAATCATCCTATCAGTCTCATTTCCACAAAAAGTATTGAAAAAATAAAATAAAATACAGCAGGTAAATCTTTAATCTACGGTGGCGCGTGACATGGGGTCACCGGAAGTTGTTAGCGTTCAGCAGTCTGCAATTGCAGCTTGTGATCAGAGCTGTTGCGCTAAATCTTTGATCGTGATCATTATTCTCATTCAGAGTTTGTTTCGTGTACAATTCGCCGAGGTCATGGACAAAGAATAGGAATCTAGAGGGCCGAGGGAAGCACTTTAAAACGGTACGTGAGAGCTATGACAGTTAACAGGCTGCAAAAGTGCGTCGCATGCCTCCATTTCAGGCTGTTGCTCATCATGGCGTGCGTGTGTATGTGCTTGCACTTGCGCGGTAACGGGTCGATCGTAGGAGGTTGGTTGATCGAAAAGTCGATCTTCGGTCCAAAAAGTTTGGGCACCCCTGTTGTAGAGGTATTCCATTCTGTACACATTGTCTCATGGGTTTCCTAATATGTACTGTTGGATGAAATTAAAACAAGTAAATCTTTTAGTTGTCTGTCCATTTCTGAAAATGTCTCTGTGAGTGATCCTCTACTCCATTGCTCAGCCTATTACTTGGTTGTTAGGCTGGCTAAAATTTCAGAGGAAAAGAAACATTCCATCACATCGGCCCAACCACAATCAGATCAATTTGAAAAAGCGCTGTTGTTTGACCACACATAAGCTGTTAGTAAGTTAACAGTGTTACCGGCATTACCTTCTGACAATCATGTTGTGAGAGTAATCACACAGCCATGCTCATGGCTTTAAAAACATCCTGATGATGATTGAACGGGGTGTTGCTGCTCATCTCTAAACCCATCTCATCTCTTCAAAAGAAACAAAACAAAACAATCCAGACTTTGGAAACTACACAGCACACTAACAGCCCTCCTCAAATATACCCGTGACTTTTTTGTCCTCTGTCTGGGGCCACTTTAATATTCTCATCATGTTCGCCCTCACTGCTGTGTTTGACTCCATTAACCACTACGTCCACTGCGTCCCTTTCTCCCGTCTGGAGACCATTCATGTTAATATCAGTGGTACAACTCTCTTCTGGCTCACATCATACAGTATATAAGACACTGACACAAATTCTTCTGTAACCACAGCTGCCCCTCCTTCACCACTCAGCTGTGAGTCATATGCTGCTGGAGATGCACCAGATGTCATCTGCACAGTCACAACTGTTGTAAGGATGAATGTGAGTGTCTCAGGACACACGTCAATCACAACCAATTCAGTCATGTATGTTTTTCTTGCTTCAGTGAGGATGTTGTAGTACTGCATTTTGGTATTGAATCTATTATGAACGGTGAGTATCGTCAGGCATCGATAATGTGATAAAGAAATGTGTGCCATTATGAGTAACTATAAGGGAAGCTCACCCGCAGAATACCGCGGGATCGCCTCTGTTTTACCTCTTAAAACACACCAAAGACGTGAAAGGGGAAGCAGTCATTCGGGGCATTGCTGGGGATTTGCCACGGCATGGAAGAAGAACACATTAGGCTAATGGATCATTGTGCAATCTGGTGGGTTCTTCAACTTCCTCCCACCCTCCAAGCCTCCAAACACCCATCTTCAACCTCCGCTCACTAATGTATCACGCAGCCAAGGCTTCCTGAACAAGTGTAATTGTCCCAAAGAGATTGTAAGGCTTTCTACAACAGTATTTTGGAATCACTTTCCTCAAGGCGCTCAACGTTTGAAAAATGCTCATCTTTGAACATGAGCTCCGGGGGGAGAGCGAATAATGTTGTTCCTCTCACTGTGGAAAAACATTTCTCTCATCTCGCGCTATATTTAAATTATAATGGAATGATAGATTTTTCTTTTGCAAGGAGTATAGTTTGGCTGTTGCAACTAAAACTTGCATTTGTGACGGAGATATAATGTCAATAAACTCCTCGATGAGACATCTCCATAATGTGTACAACGTGTACGGTATGTATTATACTGCCCCCCTGTGGCCACGGTGCGCACGCCAGAATGAGAAGCACAATGCCCATTGAACTCAAGTTTGAATTGAATTGAATTGAATACAGCTTTATTGTCAAATGTGTTGTATGTGTAATGCACAAGCTGTTGAATTATTTCCATTGGACTGGATGATGTTATGTCAATGCGGAAATATGGTTTGCATTTGAGCTGGTTATAGTTGATAATTGTGTGTATCCATAGACCTTTATGTCTTTCTTTGAATTTTCAGCCACTGATTAAAGTTACTGAGGGCACTGCGGTTCGTGCTGGCAACATGGTTTCAATTCCCACATAATATTAAGGTCCAAATAAGACGGCCATGTGTGTTCTGCGCGCCACTAATATCTGCGGCAAGTGGATAACTTGATCAATGGAGCCTCTTTTGTGTTTGGTATAACTAGAGATGGGCACTTTGCCCTATTCTGTCAGTCCATCCTCCATCCGTGACCTGGTTGCCCTTCCGTCATTGTCACTCCATCCTTATTCATATAATAATCATGCTCCGACCCCGTCCGTCCTCGTCATTTTAAAATGCTTCAGTCCCAGGACTCTCGCATACAAACATTGACGTATTTATCGCATATACGCCTGCTAACTGAACCTTACTTTCAGTACTGCTGTGATTGGCTGATGCAGATAAGGCCGGCCATCAATCAAACAAAAATGACATCAGTGTTTCTTTATTTTTTTTTAATGTCGTAGTGATAAGCAACTCAACATGAGTATTTCACAATGCAAAAGTAGTTACGACGCTAAAATAAAATAATTTAAAAAACAAGTACATTTCAGTTGTATTTCCCGATATTCAGATGTAGTGTTAATGTTCAAACTGTGCACAATGTTGCAGTGACTTGCAACAGTTTCAGCTTTGTCAGTAAATGAGGAACTTTGTCCAAAAAAAAAAAAAGGAAAAAAGAAAAGAAATCTTACTTCGACCTTCATTTCTTGCTGACTCCTTTCGTTATGTGTAGTTGACTACTATTGTTTGGCTCTCATGCACTCGAGAGACATGTAAACATTCACACGGGGAGGGGTGGAGACAACATGGCCAAAAGCTGTCCATCACCTTTATGTTGTTGTTGTTGCTGATGATGCTGGAGCTGTTTGCTGCCAACAGACAACACGGGACGATGAGAGTGCAAAACAATATGCTGGGGGTTCTCTCACCTCACCTACTCACTTGCAGATGGGATGGCGATCGATACAGTTAGTGTGCTTTAAAAGAGTCAAGAGAGGTTGGTGAAGAAACAGAGCGTTTCACTTGCATTTCTTG